AAGCAGTGGTATCAACGCAGAGTACTAACAGGGTTCATCAACATGCGGCCGGATGAGAAGACGGTCGTCTATGAGAACTGGATCCGGGAATGTTTCATGATTTCGAAGCAGAAGAAGTGGACAGATCCGGAAGCCCCGCTGAGAGTTGGCATCGTGGCGATTTATGCGATACCGAACTCGACCAGCAAGAAGAAGAGAGCGGAGATGCTCACAGGCAAGATCTATCCGACAAAGAAGCCGGATGCGGACAATATAGCAAAAGTCGTCCTGGATGCACTCAACGGCATTGCGTATCCGGACGATAAGCAGATCGTGTGCTGCTCATGCACGAAGATCTACGGAGAAGAGCCGGGAGTGAAAGTTGTCATTGACGACTACGCATATCCTGCAGGAAGGATGGAAGAATGAACGAGCAGACGAGATTCGTCATCACAGACGGGAAGAGATTTGCTGTCAGCAATACAGGAACGATCCACCTGTCCTTTGTTGATAATTGGGCAGACGTGAAGGTCTACAAGGAAAGAAAGACAGCAGAAAAGGCAATCGAGAAAAACAGCACTGTACTCGGAAATTGTGAAGTGAAGAGATGCAGGATCTCTTATGAATTGATGGAGGGTTAAATGAACGAAGTGATTCTGATCGGGAGACTCACGAAGGATCCCGAGCTGAGATATACACAGAGCCAGACACCGGTCTGCAATATGACGCTGGCGGTAGACAGACCGCAGTCCCGTGACAGACAGAACAATGGTCCGACGGCTGACTTTATCCGTATCCAGGTATTTGGCAAGTTGGCAGAGAACTGCAGCAGATACCTGACAAAGGGCAGACAGGCTGCCATCAATGGAAGTATCCGGACAGGAAGTTATGAGAAGGATGGTCGCAAGGTCTACACAACAGACGTTGTAGCAAACCGAGTCGAGTTTATCGGAGGAAATGGTTCGACCATGGCAAAAACTGGAACTTATGCGCGTACGGAAAACACAGCTTCGATTCAGGAAGAATACGAAGGATTCGAAGTGATCGGTGAAGAAGATGTGCCGTTTTAGGGGACTTTATGACTACTTTAGGGGGACGACATGACAACTCAGAAACCAGTGAAGAAGATCTGCAAGACATGCGGAAAAGAGTTTGAGACGACAGCATACGCTCGTAAAAAATGCGATATGTGCGCAGACGATGCCGCTGTGAAGAATATGCCTGCTGTTGGGAAAGGGAATGCGGATGTGATCAGAACGGAATCCGGTCCAAAGAAGAAAAAGGACTATGATGCGGAACGTGCTGCAGAGACATCTGCGCGAATGGCAGAAGTCGGCTTTAATTATGGCGAAGTTAAGAAACAGGAATATCTCGCCAAGCTGAAAGCGGAAGAAGAAGCCAGGAAGGAAGAAGCAGTACATGACCATATCACTGATGCTGCGAAAATGGTCGAATCGGAACCGGCAGAAGAACCGGTTGCTCCGGATACGGAAGAAGGTGCAGAGGATCCGAAGAAGGAACTCGAGAAGATCTGGGACTTCGTATCTGAACAGGAGCTTGACTTCGACTCCGGTGCAGCAGTGATCCTGCTGTGCAACGGTGAATATGAAATGGCGATGCGGCATTTGAAGCACAAGCTGAAGGTGATGAAACATGGCTGAATGGTATAAGCCGCAGGCAAAGCTTCCACAGAGAGGGAAAGAAGTCTGTGTGATGTCGAATCACGGACTGGTCGCATTTGCAAAATTGAAAAAGAACGGCGCCTGGGTGACGACTGGAAGAAAGTCGCACCGATCAAGGTGCTGAAGTGGTGCGAGGCAAATTATGAAAGTGTTTGATAGAAATAATCAGGAAGTATTTATCCCTGAATCAAGAAATGTGATCCTGTACACAGATGACATGGACAAGGAGTGTGACTGCATCCATTGCGGAAAAACGATTCGATATGGAGATGGCTACACTTCCAGGAACTACTTTTCACCGATGGGATTCGGGTTCCCGGAATGCAGCGACTGTTATTTTGAAGAAGGCAGGTGGTGAATCGTGGGGAGAAGCTCAATGATCAAGAAGCGAAAGCCAAAGGAAAAGCGAGTTCTTTACAACGAGATGACGGCGTTCGAAAAAACTGCGACGCGGATCTGGATGAAAGCGATCCGTCCGGTCTGCATCATGGAAGCCTTCGTTCTTTTTTTGAACATCGCCTTGACAGTCCTGAAAGATTATTTCGGATTTGGAAAAGTGAGACTTGAACGGTTCGCAAGACATTGCCTGGACTACATGGACAGCATCGGCGGGAAGTATGTATCACTCGAAGAGATCGTGGATGAGGTCGAGAGCTTCAGTGGCATCCGTTACCAACTTACGAAGAACGAAGTTGATCAGCTTGAACAGTACGGAATGATCCAGGCGTCAAAGGATATCGAACTGAGCGCGATCCAGATGGGCTATCTCAAATTTGATGGGCTGGACAAGCGCATGAAGAAGGGAGCGAAGAAATGATCGAGATTGTAGCAAGCCTCTGCATTGGCATTATCACGGCAGTATTCGCATTCTGCATGATAGCGAATCACGGTAGAGAAAGCGAACTTGAACAATTGTATAATGACTTACACGCTCGTGTAAGTGTGCTTGAACAGGAGGATGACCTGAAGTAATGCCAGGAATCCAGTTAATAGGCGACCAGCATGACATGGCTGTCAGATACAACAGGCTTTGTCGAGAAAAAACAAAGGCGAGACTGCTCGCTGACATTCAAGCTGATTTGATGGTCTGCAAAATCGAAGGCATTGACCACATGGAATATATAAAAGAGCTCAAAGATATGCTCGATGAGTTTATCACAAAGAGCTCGACTGTTTAGGAGGACGGATTAAGTGACAGAATTCATCAGAGCGCTCAGATGCTCGAATAGTACTGAGCACATCGATTGTATTAGAGATAAATGCAAGTATTTTTTCCGCGAGCCGCAGGAAGTGATTGACAAATTCCGTGAAGAACATGGCGGGAAATTCCGTGAATTCCCGGACGACATCTTCGAAACGTGCGACTGTGAGCAAATCGCGCTTGATGCTGCGGATGAACTCGAAAGGCTGTGCAAGGACAGAGAAAAACACCGCTGGCATGACCTGCGGAAGGACCCTACTGATTTACCGGAAGAAGAGGGCGCACTTGTTTTGTGTGTATTCGATGATTTTGCCTGCGAGAGTGGAATTTTCGAACGCGTATATTTGACAGGTGCCAATTTTGCGGGTGAATTAGTGCCGACAGTAAGAAATGATGGATGTGTGCCAGTTGCCTGGCGTGAAATAGAACCGTATGAGCCGGAGGGACTAAGCGTGACGCCTTATCGTTGTTGATGCGGAAAATCCTGATGCTGTAGATGCAAAGGATGACTATGAAGAATATTTGAAGAGCGTTGTCCGGCATGAGATCACGCATGCATTCCTGTACGAATCGGGGCTCAATGTTAATTCAGCAGCGTGCGAAAGCTGGGCGACGAATGAAGAAATGGTCGACTGGTTTGCGATCCAGTCGCCGAAGCTGTTCAGAGCATTCAAAGAAGCCGGTGTGATGGGAGGTAACTACTGATGAGCGAATCAATTAAAATCGCATCGAACCTCACAGAGGATGAGATCATGATCCAGACGATGGAAGAATGTGCGGAACTTATCCAGGCGATCTGCAAGCACATGCGCAGATTCGGCAATAATACGCCGGACAAAACGCATGATGAAGTAGTCCAGAACCTCAATGAAGAGATCGCAGATGTGAAGAATTGTCTTGAAATCATTGCGGGCGCTTGCGAATGGCATGACCCCGTAATGGTAAAAGAGATCCGCACGGCAAAGATGAAGCGCTGGTTCTGGCGGCTGACAGGTAGACGATGATGTGTATGAATATTACATGCTGCAGAGGATGCCAGGAACGCACGATTGAGCCGAACTGTCATACGACATGTGAGAAATATCTCGCCGAAGTGGAAGAAAATCGAAGAGTAAGAGAGTTGGTCAACAAAGGCAAACAGGCGGACTGGTATTTGCGGCAGTCTATTAGCCGGCATGGCGGCAAAAGGAGGAAAGGATGAACAGAGCAGAATTTCTGCAGGAAGTGGCGAACATCGTAACAAAAGACAGGAATGCGCAGTATGGTGAACCGGAGGACACGTTCGCACTGATCGCACAGTATTGGAGTTTATATCTCTCGACGGACATTACGTCCTTTGACGTGGCAATGCTCATGGCGCTGATGAAGATGGCACGGATCCAGAGTTCGAAGGTCATGCCGGAGGACTCGCTCATTGATCTGGCTGGATATGCAGCCTGTGCGATCGAGTGCGGGAAGTGATATGGGATATGAGTGATTACTATCCAAAGTCAAGCACGCTTCCGCAGGACGTCTATAATCGAGCAGTGTGGACAGTCCGAAGCTATCATCGACTCAAAGATGAGATGGCGGCCATCCTGGATGAATCACCGGCGCCGCCAGACGGGATGCCGAGAGGGAACGGATTCAAATCCGACCCAACGGAAAGCAAAGCGATGCGTCTGGAAGAGATTCGGGATCAGCTCGATGCAATCGACAATGCGCTCATGACGATCCCGCAGTATTATCGAATCCATGTTATGAATAACATTATCCACAGGATCTCGTTCGACTACTGTGATGCAGATCGCTCGACCTGCTCAAGGTGGAAACAGCGGTTCCTGGTCGAGGTTGCGAAAAACTGCGGGATAAGTTAAAGTGCAACATCAGGCAAAACTATCTGTGATATAGTAGTATCGTGGAAGATGCGGGCAGAGACAGCTCGCATCTTTTGTTTTCTCATAAAAGTATTCCTGAAAAAAATTGGGCAAAGCTGCAATGACTTCATGGGGCAGCTGAATACGTCGACAGCGATGGGAGCCGGCGTTTTATTATTTGGAGGTGGACGAATGGCATTCAAAGATTTAGACATTCGAGAGCAGGCATTCGTCGATGAGTATATAAAGAACGGCGGCAGCTGTCGAAAAGCTGCTATTGAAGCCGGCTATTCTAAAGCGACTGCTAAGAATGCGAACTACTGGCTGAAGCCGCACGATTACACAGATTGTCGTTTGCCGTATAAGCCGTATCTGAAGCAAGCGATTGACGAGCGACTGAAAGAGATCAAAGACGCATCGATCGCTGATGCGACGGAAGTTCTTCAGGCGCTGACAGCCACACTGCGAAAGCAGAGCGTATCATACGAAGTTGTTGTGGAAGGTACCGGCGACGGGACTTCAGAGGCGAGAGAAGTGGAAAAGAGACCGTCTGAAAGAGACGTTCTGAAGGCGGCTGAACTGCTCGGGAAAGTGTACGGCCTGTACAAAGATAAGGTCGAGCAGGATGTGGATATGGAATTGAATGTGACGATCGATTATGGAGATTAAAGTCCAGGCAAACAGATCATTTGCTGAAGTAAACAGATCGAAGAAACGCTATATCGTGATGATGGGCTCGGCGGGGTCCGGAAAGTCTGTTGATACGGCGCAGAACTACATCCTGCGGCTGACGAACGACAAGGGTCGCAACTTAGTCTGCATTAGAAAATCGGACGTAACGAATCGAGATTCGACGTATGCGGAGCTGACTGCAGCGATATACAGAATGGGGTTTGACAAGCTCTGGACGATTCGTCAGAGCCCTCTGCAGCTGACCTGCAGAAATGGCAATCAGATCATATTCAGAGGCGTCAACGATGACCGCCAGCGCGAAAAGCTGAAGTCGATCACATTTCAGAAGGGCAAACTGACGGATGTGTGGATAGAAGAAGCCACAGAACTGACACAGGCAGATCTTGAAATTATCGACGACCGTCTCAGAGGGCAGCTGCCGCCGGGACTGTTTTACCAGATACGACTTACGTTCAATCCAGTCAGCAAAGAGCACTGGATCAAGAAGGTGTTTTTCGACCGTCCGGATCCGAATGTTCTCACGCATCACAGCACGTATCTGAACAATAGATTCATCGACGAGGCGTATCATCAGCGAATGATGAGGCGTAAAGAGATCGACCCGGAAGGATATCGCATATACGGCCTTGGCGAATGGGGCGAGCTCGGCGGGCTCATCCTGAAAAATTACACGATCGAAGATTTTGACCGGTCGCACAGTAATTTTGACTATGTGGTCAATGCCCAGGACTTCGGATTCAATCACGCAAACTGCATCCTGGAAGTAGCATTCAGGGACGGAAATCTATTCGTCTGCAGAGAACTGTATCTCTTCGAGCATGATACGGAAGAGATCATCCGGAAAGCCGACGGCATGTTCGATAAAAAAATACGGATGTGGTGCGATTCGGCCGAACCGGACCGGATACGCATGTGGCAGAAGGCCGGATACAGAGCTTCTGCCGTGAAAAAAGGAAATGGCTCGGTAAAAGCTCAGATAGATTATCTCAAACAGCGCAGGATCGTCATCCATCCGTCCTGCGTGAATACGATTAAAGAAATAAACCAATGGAAGTGGCAGAAGGACGAGAAGACAGGAACGTATCTCGACCAACCTGTCGCTTTTTTTGATGATGCGATGGCTGCACTTCGCTATTCGATCGAAGAAGAGCGAAAGCCAAAACCGCGACTGAACCGGATCAAGGGAGGGATTTGATTTGTACAAGATAAAAAGAGACGAAGAGATCACTCTTGAAGTGATCCAGAAGTTCGCAACAGAACACAGAATGAATGCGGTCAGCAGGCTCAAGAAACTGGCTGATGCGTACAACACAAGATACGACATCATGAACGCGCCGCCGAAGCCACACTGGAAGCCTGACAACAGGCTGCAGGTGAACTTTGCATCATACATCGTTGATACGATGACAGGATTCTTTGCAGGTGTCGCTCCGTCAATCGACTCGACAGATAAGGCGGTCAATGACTATGTGACGATGCTGAATGCATACAACGTATTTGATGACCTGCTCGCAGAAGAAGTGAAGCGGGCCTGCATCTATGGCTACGACTACGAGCTGCTCTATGTAGATGAGCGTGGAAACATCGGCATCGTTCGTTCTGATCCGCTGAGTTCATTCATGATCTACGACGATTCCGTTCTTAAAAGAAAACGTGCTTTCGTCAGGCTGTACAAGGACGAAGATGAGAAAATCACGGGTTCTGTATCCGACGAACACATGGTCCGTCACTTCCAGCTTTCTCCGAAGCTGATGTGGACAGACGAAGAAAAGCAGCACGGATTTGATGGCGTGCCGGCGGTTGAATATGTGACAGATGAAGAACGCCAGGGCATGATCGCGCCGGTGCTTTCTCTGATTGATGCATACAATAAAGCTCTGTCCGAGAAGGCAAACGATGTCGACTACTTTGCAGATGCATACCTTAAAATCCTCGGCGCGCTGCTGAATGAAGAAGAGATCAAGCACATCCGAGATGACAGAGTCATCAACTTCGATGGAACTGACAGCGACAATATCATCGTGGACTTCCTGCAGAAGCCATCCGGGGATGAAACACAGGAACATCTTCTCGACCGCCTGGAAGAGAACATCTTCAAGATCGGACAGGTCGCAGATATCTCAAACGACAAGTTCGCCACGGCATCCGGCATTGCTTTGAAGTATAAGATGCTGGCGATGTCCAACAAGGCGCAGACGATTGAGAGAAAATTCCACAAAGCTCTCCAGGAACGCTATCGACTGGCGATGTCGAATGCAACGAATAGCTTTCCGGCTGACGCATACCTGAAGATCGACTACAAGTTTGTGCGGAACTTCCCTGCAAATCTCGCTGAAGAAGTGGAAATCGTGACGAAGCTGGAAGGCGTTGTGTCGAAGGAAACGCAGCTCAAACAGCTGTCCGTTGTGCCGAACGCAAAGGAAGAAATAGAGCGGATCGAGGCGGAGAATCCTTCCGGTCCGATCGTTATGAGTGCGGAGTTTGAATAATGGCAACTCAGGCATATTGGCGTTATAGAGAGCAGAAAGCACTCGAACGACGGCTGCAACAGGAAGAAGATTACTACAAGCAGCTTGATGTGATATTCGGCACGATGCAGGACGAGATCGAAAGACAAATATACGCGTTTTACGCTCGTTATGCCGAGAATGAAGGTATTACCATTGCCGAGGCAAAGAAACGCGCTGATGCACTGGATATTGAAGCATACGCACGCAAAGCGGCTCGCTATGTTGACGAGAAGAACTTCAGCCCGAGAGCAAATGCTGAAATGGCATTGTATAATCTGGCAATGAAGGTCAGCCGGCTGGAATTGCTGAGAGCGAATATAGGGCTTGAGATGGTTGCTCAGTTCGACAAATATGCTGATTTCATGGAAGAGATCCTCGACGACAGAACGATCGATGAACTGCGCCGCCAGGCCGGTATCTTAGGTGAAACAATCATCGACAATGCGAAAATGGCGCACGAGATCGTGAACAGCTCTTTCCACGGCGCGACATTCTCCGACAGGATCTGGGATGATCAGACGCGTTTGAAGAACGAAATGAAAAAACTGCTGCAGCGAGGACTGATCCAGGGAAAGAACCCGAGAGATCTCGCAAGGCAGCTTCGGAAGGTCATCGACACGACGAAGCATAATGCTGAGCGGCTCATGCGCACTGAGCTTGCGCGTGTCCAGATCGGTGCTCAGATGCAGTCGTATGTTGACATGGATTTTGACCAGTACACCTTCCACGCGAATTCAAGCTGCTGTGATGTCTGCAAAGATCTCAACGGCAAGCATTTTTTCATAGCTGACGTGGCATATGGAGAGAACGCTCCGCCGATCCACCCAAACTGCAGATGCTCAACATCGCCATATTCGAGCGATGAAGAGTACGAAGAGTGGTTCGAAGAGTTGACCGGACAGAAGTCGGCTCTGAATATGAGTGATGAAGAGCTGTTTGGAAATGGTATTCCTTAAAATATTGGAGCGCCAGAAAAGAAGAGTATAAAATCAAAAAGTCGTGTAAATAACAATAATACTTCTTCAAATAGGCAGAAAAATGATATAATAAAAGCAAATAACGTAGATGTGAGAAAATTCTACATTGAAGAAGTTTCGAAGATCAAGGATTCTATAGACAAGAACCCCTCTATCGAAGAGAAAGCGAAACTTGCTTTTGAGAAAAGGAATGAAATTAGAACAAAAGCAAGAAAAATGATGGAAGATAAAGAAACTTTGAAAATGTTAGAAGAAAAACGTCCGAATAAAACATTTGAAGAACTTGTGAAGTCGAAAATGGAAAGAAAAAATATTACAAGAGAAGAGGCGGTCTTGGATATTTACGAAACCGCTACAAAAACAAACGAGAATGTAAATAAAGCTCTTGGGTCAGGTGGTGAATAATATGTTTTCTTACAATATAAGCACATCAGCTGATGAAAATGCATTTTTCTCGACGTGCGATACAATCGAAAATGCCTTTCCCAAATTAGAAAAAGAAGAGTTGTTAGTAGATGTTGACGGTTCGCAGATTCAAACATATACAGAAAATTCCTTGAAAATAACGGTTTTTAACGATTATGAGGTTGACGCCGTTTTTGTTGATTCTGATATTGATATTGGTGATATTCTGTAGATATGTCAAAAAACGATATGGACGTCATCATGTACAAGATACTTCGGTATCTGGATGGAATAATTAAAGCATTGATTTAATACAGGCAGCTTCGGCTGTCTTTTTTATTGCTCAAAATCGCTATGAACCCGGAACGGAGTAGCTGACCGGTACAGGGAACATATATACCGTCCGAGCATTTAAGACGTAAAACTGCATGGAAATTTAGTCAAGCATTGCGACGTTAAACTATGGAGGTAAGCAACATGGCAGAAGAAACAATGGCTCAGCAGGAACAACAGACAGAACCACAGGGACAGACGGCAGAGCCGGTCACATTCTCTCAGGAGGATGTGAACAAGATGCTCGCTGATCAGAAGGCGGACATGGAGAAATTGTTCGATGACAAGTTTGCGAAGAAGTTCGCAAGCTACAAAGCAAAGGCGGAAGCTGAAAAGAATGAGGCTGCTCGTCTTGCTCAGATGACAGCGCAAGAACGTGCAGAGGCTGAACGTGATAAGCTTCAGCAGGAGCTTGATGCGCTGAAGGCTGAAAACACTCGGAACGGCATGATGTCTGAGTCTCGCAAGATCCTGAAAGAAAGCGGCATTTCTGTGGCGGATGAATTGCTCGGCATGTTTGTCGGTGCTGATGCTGAAGCAACGCAGACGGCTGTCATGCAGTTTGCGACATTATTTAATGCGGAAGTTGAAAGAGCTGTGAAGGAGAAGCTTGGTGGCAGAGCTCCGAGAGAGTCCACCGGCTCTACAATGACCGTTGAAGAGATCATGAAAGAAAAGGATCCTGTCAAGAGGCAGGCTCTTATTGCTCAACATATGGACTTATTCCAGAAAGGAAAATAGACATGGCTGTAACAACAGGTACTATTGTAAAAAATGATATCAGCACAACTGCGAGAGAAATCGATTTCGTAACATCTTTCGCAAACGACGTACAGGAGCTGATGAACGTTCTGGGCATCGTAAGACCGATTGAAAAGGCAGCAGGCACTGACATCAAGATGAAGAAGGTGACAGGCGATCTGAACACTACAGTAGTAGCAGAAGGCGATGAGATCCCTCTGACTCACTACACTGTAGAAGAACAGTCTATCGGCACTCTGAGCTTCTTCAAGCTGAGAACCCGCACAACTCTCGAAGCGATCGCTGAAAAGGGTTATGCAAATGCTATCGCTGCTGTAGATGAAGAATACAAAGCTGATCTGAGAAATCTCGTCCTCGGCAAGCTGTACACAGCTCTCGGCAATGGCGCAACAGAATTCACAGAAACGTCCTTCCAGAAGACTGTTGCGATGGCAATCGGCTATGCAAAGGACAAGTTCAAGAAGATGCACAAGACTGCAACTGGCATGGCTGTGATCGTGAATACGCTCGACGTATACGAATACCTGGGCGATGCATCCGTATCCATGCAGACTGCATTCGGCTTCGACTATGTCAAAAACTTCCTCGGCGCTGATGTGGCTATCATCACATCTGAAATCGAACCTGGCACTGTTATCGCTACTCCGCTGAATAACCTGCTGCTCTACTATATCAACCCAGCTTCCAGCGACTTTGCTCGCGCTGGCCTGAACTACACTGTAGACAACATCCTCGGAATCATCGGTTATCACGTAGAAGGTAACTACGGCAGAGCTTCCTCTGAATCCTTCGCTGTAGGCGGCATGGTGGTAGCTCCAGAATTCGCTGACGGTATCGCAGTTGGTACTATCGGCGAAAGCCAGGTGCGTCCCCAGTAGGAAAGCGCTTACAGTAAGCTCGATGGCTGGTTCGACCGGTGAAACGATCATCACAGTGAATCCTGCGAAATCTGAGTTCAATGTTTACAAATACAAAGTCGGTGACGCTGCCGAGGATGTAGCGTATGAGCAGAATGTCAGAACGTGGAAACTGTGGGACGGTATTTCGCCGATCGAAGCGGAGAACGGGAAGATCATCACTATCGTTGAAGCAACGAAGGATTACAAGGCTGTCGCGGCCGGTTCAACGACTGTTGTGGCCGGCTAATCGGAAAGGAGCAGTGACATGCTTGAAAATTTGAAGATCCTGCTCGGGATCACAGAGAGCGAGCCCTTCATGGACCAGCGGCTGCTCCTCATTCTCGAAAATGCAAAAGCTCGACTGAGTGTTCTCATGGGAGGCATCGAGCCTCCCGACGAGCTTGAGCACATTATCGTTGAAACAGCGGTCATCAGGTTCAATCGCATCGGATCAGAAGGATTGACATCTCATTCAGTGGAAGGCGAAGCGTTAAACTTCGCAGAAAACGACTTCGCGCCGTTCATGAGCGAGATCAGCTCGTATCTCGAAGCGCAGGAATGCACGGATAAAGGTCGGGTGAGATTCTTATGAGGTATATCACACCGATATTCTTCCAGCGCGTAGAGTCTGGCGGATATAACGCTGATACCGGTGACTATGATCGCGACATCATTATCGAGTCGATGCAGTATGCTGATATCACAGATTCATCCGACAGGACAGTCGAAATGGTCTATGGCGAATTACGAGAAGGAGTTTTGACGGTACGACTTGAGCGGCCGTACACAGCACCGTTCGATTATATCCGCATCGGCGAACGTCGGTTCAAAGCGGATATGAAGCGCAGCACATTCCAGAAGATGGCTCTCGTCGTGGCGGAGGTGCAGTGATGAGAGTTGAAGGACTTGACAAGCTGATCAAGGGACTGGAAGAACGAACGAATCCGGAACCGATCAGGCGAATCGTCAAGAAATACGGCGAACGTCTGAATGCAGAGATGGTCACAAGGGCGGATTTCCGAGGCCATTTTGAGAATGGGAAATTTGTAGCTCCTACCGGCACGACAAAGCGAAGTATCCGGCTGCAGATCACAGACGGGGGGATGACTGCAGAAGTCGGAGCCGGCACAGATTATTCCATGTATCTCGAGTGGGGCACTCGATTCATGAGTGCTCAGTCATTCGTAAGGCCTGCGAATGATGCTGTAGAGCCTCGATTTAAGCACGATATCAAAGCATTAGTAGAAGGGAAATAACATGGATCCGCAGCAGGAATTATTCACGGCACTGCTGATCGCGCTTCGCGCTGAAGGATGGGATGTGTATGATGGCGCTCTTCCGCCGGATGGAACGGAATATCCGTTCGTTTATCTCGGGGATAGTATCCAGAATGATACTGCAAATAAAAGCGCGGTATTCGGTCACATCACGCAGTATATCCACGTCTATCATGACAATGTTCGAAAGCGCGGAACAGTCTCGGAAATGCTTCTGAGGATCAAGACGATCTGCAGAAACATTGATACAGAAAATCATATCTGGCAGGTACGCGGCGTTGATCAGCATATTATGCCGGATACATCCACAGCGCAGGCCCTGATGCATGGGGCTCTTGCTGTGGATTTTTATTTTAGTTAGTAGGAGGTTCAAACATGAGTGAAGCAGTAAAAGGCACAAGACTCGTATACCTTTTCAGAGTTCTTGAGGAAGGCTCTACAGCGGCAACTACGATCGCTTTCACAACAGAAAATACAAGAACTAAGTCAAAGGATTCTGATTCTACAGCAACAAAGGACGGTACGATCAGAACACCGGGTTCTTCTGAATCTGAAGTTGAAGTGACTTGCATCCTGGCCAATGATGGACGTGATCATCGGCAAGCTGGAAGATGCGATGGACAGCGACAAGATCATCGAAGTATGGGAAGCACAATCTCGACAAGCCAGGCACGGGCTCCAATAAGTTCAAAGGCATCTACTTCCAGGGCTATCTCACAGAAGTTGAATACTCTTCTCCTGCAGAAGAGTTTGTTGAAGTGTCTCTGTCCTTCGGTCTGAAACGGCACAGGCGTCAAGGGTGACGTCCACTGTCCACAGCAAGCCAGCAGGAAGCTGCGGCATACGTATTCAGGACACTGTAGCAGGCGCATAGTTTTATTAGATAGGAAGGTGAAAGAATGCAGATTTTTGAATTAATGATCAAAGATCAGGTTTTCGAATTCGAGTTCGGCATGAGATTTCTGCGCGATCTTGACAATACTATCGTGAAGAAGGACGGCAACGGCGTAGCGATCAAATACGGATATTTGTATTCTTTCGCCGGTCTCCTTGACCATGATCTTGAATCGCTCATCGAGGTGCTTAAGATCGCAAATAAAGGTCATAATCACGCATCACGGATGCACTTCTGTATGACTTTATCGATGACGAATCAACGGATCTGGACGAAGTATTCGACCAAGGTGATGGATTTTTTGAAGTCACAGAATGCTACCAAAGGCAAGACGGAGCAGTCGTGAAGACACTGACGGCGCTGGCGGAGCAGAATGGAGCGGAACTTCCGGTCAAGGAATAGACGAACTATATGACGAAGTAGCTCTGACATGTTTTCGATATCTCAATTTCAATTCTTTTTGATCAGGTAGATCATCTGACGCTTCGTGAGTACAAAACACTCATAAAAGCGATCAAATTAAGACAAGTCCGACATGGATTACAGAAGCCATCAGCAGGCTTTTCTGAACTTCTCAGCGACCTGCAAGAAAGAAGAATGGGAAGCCTGTATATACGCGCTTCAGCAAGTTCTACAGCTACGACAAGGCTGTGAAGAGAGTGTTGAATGAAGGAAAGAGAAAATTGGAAGGGCCTCGAGAAGATTTTAAGAAGGGAGGCTGACTGATGGCGGTAAAAAGTTTCTCCGTCAAGGCGGTTTTTATCCGCGGAAGATCACATGACAAAATCTATCCGCGGTGCGCTTGGGCAGCTTGACGGCCTCGGCTCAAAAATCAGAAGCGGCATTGGCTTCGGCTTCTTAATGTCGATAGGTCAGACCGCTTTCAACACGATCGCAGGTGCAGCGCGTGGATTATATGACGACATGAACGCATCCCAGAAGACCTGGAAGACATTCGAAGGGAATATGAGATGCTCGGAAATCCGGGTCTGAAATCGACAAGCTGAAAGGAAATTTCAGAAGTACGCTCAGCAGACTATCTACAGCTCTTCGGACATGGCTTCAACATATTCCCAACTTGCAGCGGTCGGCATCAAAGGAGCTGACAGCCTTGTAACAGGTTTCGCAGGTATTGCAGCATCTGCGGAAGATCCGAAACAAGCGATGAAGTCACTGTCACAGCAAGCGACTCAGATGGCTGCAAAGCCGACTGTCGCATGGCAGGATTTCAAAATCATGATGGAACAGACGCCAGCCGGTATTTCCGCTGTTGCGAAGGAAATGGGAATGACTACCCAGGAACTCGTTGCGAACGTACAGGATGGCACTGTCAAGACGGAAGAATTTTTTTGCGGCGGTCCAAAAGGTTGGTAATTCAAATGCATTTCAGACGATGGCTACGCAGTACCAGACTCTTGACCAGGCAATGGATGGCCTTCAGAAACGATAGCAAACACCCTTGCTCCAGCATTTGAGATGTTGTCTGGAAAAGGCATTTCTGCAGTCGAAGGCATTATCAGCAAAGTCGAATCAATCGACGGACAGGCTCTCGCAGATAAGATCGGCGGATGGATCGAGCAGGCTCAGCCGTATTTCGACCAGTTCAAGATCGTTGCCGGCTATGTGTGGGACGCGCTTCAGATGGTCGGTTCGGCGCTCTCAACAGTTGGGCAGTTCTTTTTGGACAATGCTGATAAGATCGCTCCGATCATTCCAGTGCTGGCGGCTGTTGCTGGGTGGATTTTTCGCACTTGGCATCGTGAGCAGTATTGTAGGCCCGATCAGCTCCGTGGTTGGTGCGATCGGTAATCTCGGCAGTCTTCCACTGCCGAAGATCGCGGCAAATCTGCTTGGCACTGCGGCTGCAGAAGAGGCTGAGGGTGCGGCATCTGCTACAGCAGTAGGTCCAACGCTCGCCATGGCAGCGGCGTTTATCGCGATGGGCGCAGGCGTGCTCTTAGCGTCGGCGGGGGCTTTATCTCATTGCACAGGCGGCGATTCAGATCGCAGGCGCAGGGCCAGCGGCGGCTGTAGGTATGGTCGCATGGTAGCGGCTATCGCCGGGCTGGCGGCAGGTGCTGCGTTACTCGGCCCAGCTCTCACAGCCGGATCTGTTGGAATGATCGCATTCGGCGGAGCTATTGTGATGATAGGCGCAGGTATCATGCTTGCATGCGCCGAATGACGATGCTTGCAGGCTCGCTTCCAGCGATTGCTACATACGGCATGGCGGCGGCAATGGGAATGATGATGCTTTCATCTGCAATGTTAATGCTTACAGCAGGCGCTGCAGCGGCATCTGTCGGCCTCGTTGCTCTTACAGCTTCGTCTGTCGCTTCGGCGGCAGGCATTGCAGCATTTGGTGTTGCGGCTACAGCTTCTGCTGCTGGTGTTGTAGCACTGGCAGGAGCTGCAAAGATGGTCGCTTCACAGCTCAAATCAATTGATAAGAGCTCGCAGAGTGCGTCAGCTAATCTGAGCGCAATGGTTGGTTCTGTCTCCATCGTTTCCGAAGGACTCGGGGCTCTCGGGGAAAAGGCAAACTCGGCAATGACGACATTAACGAACGCATTCACCAATGCGGCATCAAAAGCACAGCAGGCGGGCCGAAAAGTCGGTGAAGGCTTCCACAAACGGCATGAAGTCCGGACTGTCAAAAGCTCCGTCGGCGGCGAAGAGTGCTGTCAATTCTACGATCAGCGCAATGAATGGAGATATAGCTCTGCATATTCTGCAGGTCAGAGAATCGGCAAGGGCTTCGTAGACGGGCTCAGAAGTCAGCTCGCATCCGTGCGATCTATCGCAGGCGAGATCAAGGCGGCGAGCACGATGTCCAGCGCATCCTATTCCATGGCAGGTGCGTCGCTCGGTGGATATTCAATTCGAACGGTCCTGCAGTCATCGAAATCCCTGTCGAGATCGATGGCAGACAGGTGGCTAAGGCTACCGCATCGTACACAGCGGACGAACTGGACAAAATCTCCGTCAGAAATGCGAGAAAGGCAGGTAAATCATAATGTACAACTTCACAGACACAAATCAGCCTGCTTCATCTCGTGAGCTGTCGGCCGAATCCGTATGCATCAACGGCATTTGGCTTGAAGATGAAATCGAAGGCTTCAGAGTTCTCTCTACCACTGGCAGAGAGGGCTCTGAGTTCTTCCGTCAGCTTCTTCTCCGTGGGAAGCAGGGAACGGCGGCAAGTTCAAGTCAAGGACGGTATCCTGAGAGAGAAATCATTGTCCGGTATCAGCTCATTGCTGATTCTTCGAGCGATTTCAGAGAGAAATACAACCACCTCGCAAAGCTGCTGAACGTGGAGGAAGTGCAGATCATCTTCAACGACGAGACGGACAAGTGCTTCACAGGAAACTCCCGAAGCAATCGGGAAGGTCGAAGCGGGAATGAACTCAGTCATCGGAGAGTTCACGATTCTCTGCCTTGATCCGTTCAAATACGACATTGAAGAGAGAATTGTCACAGCTGTGAACGGTGTGATGAATATCAACTACGACGGCACCCTTGGCGTATATCCGAAGCTTCACGTTGATATGGCTGAAAAGATATACGATGGGTGAATATCCGAGACTTGGTGGAGAAACTGCATACCTCGCATATTTCACGGATGATGGCAGAAGTATTTCTCTCGGGGATTCTTCCCGTCCTGCTGTGTCAACGCTCATCGATACTACAGAATTCTCTAAATCGTTGCCGAGCAGGTGGCAGGAGAACAAAATTGAACTGACATCTAGTTTGTTCACTGCGCCGGTCGGAACTGTTGGAATAGCGACTCACAACGGACGCTCTGCGCTCACTCAGACGAGCTACGGGACAGGCAGTGCATGGCACGGGCCGAACGTTGACAGCGAAGTTTTCTTTGGCAATAGATTCACCGCGAAGGCAAGGATGGAAATCTCATGTCTTCCGGAGAAGCAGAGGATGCTGAGTTTCGTCGTTAGAGGCGTTAAATGGTCAGACCGTTTCCGTACACGACCGGAACTGCGGCAATTGTCGCAGGCGTAAGAATCGCGAAATGGAAGTCGGGAAATCCACGGCTGCGCTTCAGTTCGTCGTCAACGACAGGACGGTAGCAAGCAGGACTATTAATATCAACGGAATCTCTGATGTGATAATTCAGAAGATAGAGAATTCTATCATCTTTGAAGGATTCGGCGAACGCTACGTCCACGTCTGTTCTACTGAGGAAAACCAGCTGGAGGGTCATGGCATCATGTTCGTATTCAACACATATGGAACGGACGTTGTGGATGGAGATTCGACATATCAGATGGTCCATTCTGTTGATGTGTACGACGACCCTGCGGATGGTCATTCTACAGATGCGGCGTTCTGCGCAGGTGACACGGTAGATATTGACGTTTCCAATGGTGTTATCTATAAAGACGGCACGTTCTCACCTCAGTACGGAGACCCGTCAATGACTGGGAAGCGTTTGTGCTGAAGCCAGGCGAAAATACGATCAGGACGGCATGTTCCGAGTGGGACAACGAGAAAACCGACGTTCAAACTCTCGTATCGTGGGAGGTATTTATGATCTTGTACTTTGCTGACAGGGGACTGAATATCCTCGGCATGGCATCCACAGAGCTCGATGGTGGTGCAATAGTAGAAAACGACAGAAAGACTGGAGACTTGGAGACGGGGGATCAGTCGTTTGAATTTACTATTCACTGGGACGAAATCAATGGATCAAGACACGACCGTGGACTAATGTTGGGAACTATGTATTCCGGTTTGAGGAAGGCGATGTCGACTGTTTCACAATAACAGAGGCTGAAGAGGACAACGCGGCAGAAAACGACGGACGTATATGCAGAGGACGCAGGGCTCGACTTACTGAACGAAATCTCGCTTCCATATGAAGCACCGGCGGATTATCCGGCAGAATTTTATATTAAAAAATTCGCGTATGATTCCGGATTCGAGATGGGAATCAAACGAAATTCCAGAACGCTCTCGGAAGTTAAAGTGGGACGGGCGAAATGACGATGGCCGAGCGCATCGCCTCGGTTGCGAAACAGTTTGATGCAGAGTTCTCATTCGGGTTTGAGTTCGACGGGCTGAGGCTCGTCAGAAAGACGATCAACATTCTCCGGCGCCGTGGTGAAGATAATGGTGTTCAAACTTCGAATGAATCATGAAGTAAACCGCATTGTCATCAAAAGAAACATCAATAACGTGGCGACGGCTCTGTACGTCACAGGAGGCACTCCAGAAGAAGCAGAAGACCCAATCACGCTCGCAGGGTATCAAATCCCAGCATCAGAGAGCGAGAACGGAAACTTCTTCTTGGAAGGCCCGTATCTTAAGAGCACCAGGGCATTGAGAAAATGGTCACGTTATCTGAACCCGTCAGAGCCTTCACAGACGTACACTGGGCACATTATGAAGACGTACAGCTATGATACGACTTCGCAGGCAGAACTCTGCACGAGGGCCATAAATGCGCTCAAGGCGATGGAAAAATGCAGAAGTGAACTATGAGGTCGAACTCGTGGACCTGCCGACGGGCATTCGTCTCGGGGACACGGTCACTGTCGTTGATAAAAAGAACGCGATACAGGTCACAGCTCGCATTATCAAGTTAGAAACTTCGGTCGTTGACAGAACCCACACAGCTACGATCGGGAGCTATTTGATTCAATATTAAGGAGGTCATATGTTTGAAAATTCGAAGCAATATGATATTCATCACGAGGAGGAGACAGTGCGAGCTTCACGGTCGAGCTTGAAGACTACGAGCTTGAAGACGGTGACGAGCTCGCGTTCACTGTCAAGGCGAATCCAACCGGACCTGTCATTTTCACGAAAATATCTGCCGCTGGAGAGTTCTCAATGTCGCCGACGACACAAATATGCAGCAGGGCAAATACTGCTTTGACATCCAGTTAAAGAAAGCGAACGGCTTTACGAGGACGCTTGTCGGCATCCGCAGGGATTCTGAGCGGAATTTTATCGTATATCCACAGGTGGACAGAATAGGAGGGCGGGCATGGAAGAAATCAAAGCAAAAGTGTCTGCTTTCTGACACTATCAAGGCGAGGCTCGGCGCAGGTGGCGGCACTGGCGGCTCAACAGTAACAGTCACACCGCTCGTAACACAGGGCACGCACATTGCGGATATTACGGTTGACGGTGTGAATAAAGAGATTTATGCACCAACAGGCGGTGGCACAGGTGGCATCTCTGACGTACAAATCAACGGCACGAGTATCACGGCTGATGGTGTGGCGAATATTCCTGTAGCTCTACGGCGAACGACTACGGTGTTGTTAAGGCTGGCAATTCAGCATTTGGTATCAACAAGAACAGTAGCGGTGTAATCTATGTCGCTAATGCATCGGATGCAGAAATCACAGCAAGAGCAAGCGCATACAAACCAGTTACACCATCTAACCTTAACTACGCCGTCACCGCCGTCCTCACCGACGGCAAAGCACCAGCACTGACCGATGCACAGAAAGCGGCGGCTCAGAGTTGGTTGGGTATCGACACTATTCTCGGCTTAGTCAACGCAGTTAGCGAGGTGTTGGATGAGTATTACATCAGTATTACAGGACACGAAAGCACGCTTAGGACAGTCTGCTGAGTTATGCGAATGAAACCACAGGACAGAGTGATGTGAGTATCGGTGATGCAATCAAGACGCTTGCTGATGGGTTTTGGTGGTGTGCGGTGGTGGTGCTTCAAGTGGAATAATCACAATGTCGTCAGATGACGAAACAATGACTATAAATACAGGATTAACATCGCTCACTAATTTTATTTGTCGTTAGGTCGACAAAGGATGCGAAATCCGTGCGAACGCTTTTTGGACTTTTTTATCTGACAAATCTTAGATTCTATTGTGGCTCTAATGCGTCTGGAAATTCGCCAGCAGGCAGTTGTGTCCCATATTTCCAACCGTTCCCAACAGAAGATAATCCGACGAACGTTGAAATAAGCGGTGGCATTATAACGGTGACACCAAGACCAACCACGGCGGGGGCGGGCAAATTTTCCAACGAAGACTATTACAGGTGCGCATGGTAAGAAAGTAGAGGTAACTAACTATGGAAACTTATATCATTCACGAAAATCAGACAAGACCTGACGACGTTATTCAACGTGCTTCAGCCAGTGACACGGCAGTCCTTTGCAAGCGCACTGTCCTACTACTATGACAGATGTAGCAAAATGGTCATGACAGACCTGTATACTTCTGTATCCATCATGCTGACAGATGAGAACCTTAATGTCATCAAGCACGACACGTTGGACACACGCTGTATGTGCCGCCTGTGGAAGAACCAGTGACAGAGGCTTAACATGGTCATCGACAACACAGCAAACAAACCGCTTTATAGAGGGAGTTTATGATGACGGCAGCAACATTCACGCTCGGGCAGCTCTTTAACATGTTTCTCGTCATGTGCGGCGGCTTGATTACGGTAAGCGGTGCAATCGGTGTCATCGTGACCATCGTTAGAAAAGCCACAATGCCGAATCAGATTCAGAACGAGCGGTTGTCCGAACTGGAAGAAAAAATCAACTCGCCCGACGATTCGCTCCGCTCTATCGAGAACGGGAACCGGGTCACGCAGCGTGCTATCTTGGCCTTCTGAGCCACGGCATTGACGGCAACGAACTGGACGGCATGCGGAAGGCAAAGAGCGAGCTGACGGAGTATTTAATTGAGAGGTGAGGGGACATGAAGGAATGGATTAAAGATGTTATTTTAAGAACGGTCAAAACAATGCGCAGGCAGCCTTCGGCATCATCAGCTCGGCTGCACTCATTTCTGATGTAGACTGGCGCATCGTATGTTCAACGGTAGGAATCGCAGGCATTTCGTGTATCCTAATGAACATTGCCAACATCAAGACGGAAGGTGGAGGTAAATGATAACAACTTATTCCCTCGCAAAGCATGGCAACGACCGCGTGTCGGCAGATTTTAGAGTATATGAGTTCCGCTGCAAAGATGGTTCTGACGAAATACGCATCAGCTCTGAAACTGTTGGCATCCTACAGGCGGTTAGAGATTATTTCGGGAAACCTGTGACTATCAACAAGTACTCTGCGTTGATACCACTGCTT